TCAGTCGCAAGCTTTGAACACAGCCTGGAAGTAATCCACTCTAGCGGAAAATAATCCAATATCAATAGAAAAGTGAGTTCTTTCATCTTCGGTCAAATTGAACCATTTGTCATCAGATAAATTTTAAAAAAACTTGTCAAAAATCTCCATTTTCATTTTGATATTACCATGGAAAAAGATAACGTGCACAGAAATTCGTCAGCCGAATACCTAATAAAAGAGTTTTTTTAAAGAGATAACCTCCCATAGAAAGTTTTTTTTATTAATCTTAGGACTAACAATATCAGACTTTTGTTGCGGACGTTCTTTTTGCTCAATAATGCGTTTGCTGTTTGAAGGCAATTCTAATTATGACTATCTTCATAAGAACTACTATCCAAAAACTCATTTTTGGTCAGTGTTCTTAATCGATATCTTATTTTTAAGGTTTTGATAAAAACGTCGATCGGATTCTGGATTTATAGACGGAAGCTTGAAGACACTGAAAAAGCTCGAAGATATGCCAGAATTTAATGGACGATATTGAACAAATCGTTATCGAACAACGGTAATATCTATACACATTTTAACTGAAGAAAAGTTATTGACATAGAGAAAATGGTGCCGTTAACCTTTAAAGTGACGATAAGATTTAAATTTATCGTTCTAATTTATAGCTATTTTTACGTCACCGAAACTTGGGGATTATCAAGAAAATCTAGATTACTTTAACAAACAAGTAGCACTTCTTACATTTTTTAAAGTAAAAATATGTTAATGTTGTTCATTATTATTTCCAGGTTTTTGCACATGCGTTAATGCCGGTTTGCGAGCGAGGGATAGCAACTTACGGTAGCAGCACTGGGTTTCGTGTCAGCTGATGTGCTTGGCGACTTTTGGGTGTTTCGATCCGCCTTAGGTCCCGAGAGTGACTCCGTAGCGGGCTTCTTGGCCTTCAACTTGGCCAGGATGCTGGAGTCGCGTTCGGGGAAGGGTGGCATTTCTTCAAGCACAGTGGCCTACCGAAAAAAAGGGAATAGAAAACATAGGGGGAGTCGGTGGAACAAAGCTGCAAAAATGTGACCAGTCTCGGGTGCAAAGTGTACGGAGAAAACACCACCGTCCGGATATTGGTAAACAACTCGAGTCACAAGTAGATGATAAACTGAGAGTGATACACTGTGCATATCATGAAATCGGAGGCTATTCCAGCGCCCTACTCTGAATTAGGCTATTAGCCATGAGAGAGATGAATGGGTTCGTCGAGGTAGCGTAGTCTTCCCCACTCTTCCCAACGAATAATCCTGACTTTTTGCATGACATTGAAGGAGAGATAGTTCTTCATGGATCTGTGCATTTCACAACCTGTATGAATTTCTACTATTACGCAACCAGGTCGGCTGAACATTCACCTAATTGGCGTTTTAAACAAGAAAACAAAGTGCCACGGTCCCCCATTTCAAAACACCTACTAGACATTAGTCACTCTGTTGACCTCAACAGTCTTTCCGAGTTCTCGCTCGGGCACGAACAAATCGGGCCTTGTACTACATGGAAGCAGTCTATGTACGGCGGGAGAAACCCAACCTACGTAAGCAGTTAGACCGAGTGGCTACTCTCCAACTGCCCTTGTTAATCGCATGTCTACATTTAATGAACATTTTTTGTTAATTACCGTCCCTTCTTTTCCTTCCCAAGTTTAAAGGCGATATTATTATTGACTATTCGCCGCGTTGAAAAATGGTTCTGTAAAAATTCGAAATGCTGTATTTACCATCTGTTATCTTATTTATGCGAAGAGAGGAAGCAGTTGACAGGCCCCGCCGAAATTTATTGGTACAAATAAATTTTGCTGTTTTCGTTTGCTTTAAATTTGTACCTGGGAGACAATGCTTTAAATATCACGCAGCGCCGGCAGTGCAGT